AATTCAATTCAATTCAATTCAATTCAATTATAAACTAATTTAAAAAACCAGATCTGGGAGTGCTGGGGAGTACCTCAGTGAGACAGATAGAAAAAATGTGAGCTCTGAAGAGCCTCACATAAATTCTGTCTGACAAACAATGCCAAGATCCATTCTGGATCAGAACTTTTCTGTAGGAAAAGTAAAGAAGAAACTGCATTTCATTAGACCTAGAGGAGAGTAACAGGTTCCTCGTAGGCCAGACATTAGTTCTTTGAATCGGTGTTGGGGGAGGCAGCATGGCAACATGGCTACCATCAAGCTGAGGGCTGCTGGCCAAAGCATCTAAGCTGGAGCGGTGTACAAAAGGAATGTGAAACCTGATAAGAAGATTTAACTAACCAACTGACATAAATCAGAATTTGAAAAAGGCAACAATCCCTGTGAGTATAAATAACATTGACGGATAGATTAGGATTTTGGCAGAAAGAAAAGAAAGAAGGGGGGGGGGGAATGGCAGTTAAAAATAATCAAGCCCAAAAAAGAACTGCTTGTTTTAAGCAACTTGGTGACAGAAAGGAGGAATATAGAGAATTTACTAACCCATTGAAACACAAACCTTGAATTTGGACTTGAAAAGATTGTGTCCTTAAAAGAGATTAATTGATAATGGAGAACTCTATAAAGGAATAGAAGATGAAAGTTAAAAACATACCAAGGTGACTTGCTTTATTCGAGTTTTTGTCCTAATTAACATATCTTAAAAAACTATTTTCTCCCTTATAACCTAATCTTGTCTGAGCAATGAATGGAATGTAAAGCTTCAAAAGAAGATTTAATTAACAAACGGACAAAAATCAGAATTTGGAAAAAGCAGAAGGGGGAGGAGAAACAAAAATTAAAAGCATACCAAGGAGACTTGCTTTGTCCAAGTCTGTCCGAGTTTGTTCTAATTAAAACATATTTTAAGCAATTCTAATCAATGAGAGGTGGAATGTAACAAGGAAAAAAAATCTAGAAAAAGCAGTAGCCTGGATTTAAAACTGGATTTAAAAATATCAAGCTGTATTGCTGGGAACAATCAGCGAAGCATTTGCCGGAGGAAAGAACAAAGAACAAAGAAAGTGAAGTGATTAAGATGCCTCCCCTTCTCTTCCTCTCTATGTTAGCTGAACTAAAATATACAGCTGGACCAGAGTCTCTCTGTTTTAACTGAACTAGAATATAAGCTGGACTGGAATTGTGAAATTATAATCAACAGTATAACTAACTGTAACTTTGGAACTGGACATTGTGGAAAGGTGGGGATTTGAAGAATTGCGTGAAATTATAAAAACATATGCATAAATCATTAAAATTAAACAGAATATTGAAGTCAGAATCTGAGGAGAAGCAGGAAATAAAGGAAGAAGACGCTTTCCTAAAGCCTCTGGAGGGCAAAAAACTGCCCTACAGACAAACCGGAAGTCACCATTCCTGAACCTCCGGGTTCCCCGTAGGGTCAATTTTCGACCTCCGGAGCCTTCAGGAGGCTTCCCTGAAGTGACTTCCAGTTTGTCTGTAGGGCCAATTTTCGACCTCTGAGGCCTTCAGGGGCATTCAGGAGGCTTCCCTGAAGGCTCCAGAGGGCAAAAAACGGTCCTACGAGCAAACTGGAAGTCTGGTCCTGAATTTCCAGTTTACCCATAGGGCTGGTTTTTTGCACTTTGGAGGCTTCGGCTCACAGGGCATTGCCTCGCATGCCCTGACAAATAGCTCCTCATGCCACAGGTTCGCCATCATGGCCCTAGATGATAGGGTCAAGATCCAGATGGATTGCAACAGACTTGAACACTGGTCCCTATCTATCAAAATGAAATTCAATATAGAGAAAAGTAAAGTCTTACACTTAGGCAAGAATAACCCAAAAAATACATGTACAGTTTAGGCAGGGGTGGGTTTCAACCGGTTCGCGGCGGTCCCCGCGAACCGGTTGGTCGTCGATCCTGGAAGTAAGTAACTTCTGGGAACGGCGAAGGGCCCACCCGCCCGCCCGCGTTCCTTACCCGGTTTTGACGAGTTCTGAGCTTCCACGCATGCA